GCCAGATTTGAATGAAGCTGTTGCCAATCTGCCATACTGTCATTTTATGTTTGAGACTATTGTTGTGTTTGACTGTCTGTAATTTTTTTTTTTGGCTGGACAGACTTTAGTGTTGTAATTCATGACATTAATTGTGGTGGTGGAAGCTTTGTCTAAAAATTTATGTTTTGTTCAGGAACAGGTACAAAAATTAGGTCTTTAAAAGGCCCAAAACTATTTGTACAATAACAACCCAGAATTCAAGGCCCAAAAAAACAGCCCAAAGAAATTCGGTTAGGTTTGGATTTAATATCCAAAACCGAATTATTTCGGTTTGGATTGGATTGGATTGAATCCAAATTCGGTTTGGATTCGGTTTCAAAAATCCAAAACCGAAATAATTCGGTTTGGGGTATAATCCAAACCGAATACCGAACTTTCACCCCTAGTGTTGTTTGAGTTTGCACAAATAGCTAGCTTTGCTAAAAAAAAATAATTAAGGTTTGTCTTTTGAGGTCGAGATAATTTGAATTGCGGTTTTGTGAAGTTTATAGAGAGAAATTAATATTGGCATTTGACACACTATTTTTGTATAAACGTGTATCGCACGGGAACTAACCTAGTAGACATATAACTAAAAGTTAGGGTCTACCACATAATTAAATTTGAAAAGTTCTACCATAGATAGATAAAATCCAACATCGGAGGTCCGGATCTCTCTCGGACTTGGAATTGGAATTGGTTAAACTAAGTAGTTAATTTTAAGAATCATACTTGGACCAAGTAGGTACAAGTACCAAAACTGGGTACCTAATTGCATTTCGACTCATATTAAATTACTTATTTGTACTTTGTATTTGTGGTACTATAAAGCCTGTTCACTTCACTTTATTTTTGCTGAACTTAGATTATTTTTATTGAACTGAAATTATTTTTACTAAACTGAAATTAATTTTACTGAACTGAAATTTTTTTTGCTGAACTGAATTTTTTTACTAATTTTCTATTATATTTCTTCTTTAAGTTTACTAATTTTTACTTAATTGAAATTATTTTACTGAAATGAAATTAATTTTACTGAACTGAAATTATTTTTGCTGAACTGAACTTATTTTTACTGAACTGAAATTATTTTTATTGAACTTATTAAATTATTTTTACAGAATATTATTTTTTTCTAAAGTGAAGTGAACATGGCCTAAATTTGCCAGGATTCACTCAATTACACAGATTACCATCTTGGAAATAGCTTGAAGTAATATGCTAGCCAGGTACAAATGGAGATTGAGACATTGTATGATTTGTATCAATGTTCGGGTTAGGACGTTAGGTTACCTCATCATATCAGTGTATGGGTTGATGGCCATTAACCAAATAAGATCAGTTGACCTGGGGTTGTAATTTGTAAACTTGTAAATTTTAGTTCAGTTAATCTAGTCGGGTCTTAGACGGCTACGTTCAAGGATGAACACCACGATATAAACCACATTATTGTTGTAGTAAAAAAGGCGACATAAATTACCTAACTATCTAGCCATGTACAAAAAACACCCTGTCCAAAACATTAAAAAGACTCAATTCGCACTCTCTTTTTATTGCTACAGTAAGTAAAAGTAGAAAGATTAAGAAAAGGATAGAAATAAAATAAAAATAAAAATAAAATGTTGGTGTTCAATGATTTTTGTCGTTTTTCTGGGTTGGGAACGTTGGGCTACGTTTGAGTACACACTTTGTAACACAATTAAAACATCAATTCCGATGTCGTCCAGCGGTTAGGATATCTGGCTTTCACCCAGGATATCTGGCTTTCACCGATGTCGTCCATCATGTTGGGCTACGTTAGATTCCCGGCATCGGAATCATTTTTAAAATAATTTTTGTTGATTTTATTTTGTTGAATACAACATTGGAAGTTCTTGACTTCGAGGCTTGGAACCTTGTATTTTAATATTCATATAGTAATTTTAATTTTGCAAATAAATAATCTGTATTTTTTTTTTTGAAACAATCTTTATATGAGTTGGAGACTTAGAGCCTTGTATTTTAATTTTGTTATAAAATTAAACTACTACTTGTACATTTTTTCTTTTTTGGAAAAATAGAAACTAATAATCCCACCTTTACCTGTTCTGCTCAAAACAGTCCCACCTTTTCGAATTCCCAAAACAGTCCCACATTTTCGAATTCCCAAAATAGTCCCACCTTTTACCCCATTCTTCTTAAAACAAGCCCTTTTACAAGCTACCTAAACAACATGTTAAATCTTTTTATTTCCCTCCTTCTTTCTCACATAATCCTAGTGTTCTAACTAACTCTTCTTCAAATTGTTTAAAAAAAAGAAAAAAAAGAGTGGAATTGAACACTGCTGAAGACGAAGGAATTGAACGCTGTTGAAGACGAAGACGGAGGAATTAAAGGTAGTTGAAGACGGTGGAATTGAAGGTTGTTGCAGTGGTGTTGTGATTTGTGAAGCGAATTGGGGAAATAATTCCAGGTAAATGTGCGAACCCTAATTTGCAAATGTCGATTAGTGTCTAATTTGTTATTAGTTCATGTGTAATTGATGTTGAGTGAGCAATTGAAGTTAATTAATTGATGACAATTGTAGGTAATATATGTAGTTCGGTCGCTAACATAATCAGAATTGCTAATTGTAGATAAGCCTCTAAAAGTAAGATCTTTCGATTCAAACTTTTATTAACAATAATTAATCAAACAATTGATCGGGTTGCAAGATTAACAATAAAACACTATCAATTAGAGATATCAATCATCAAAATATTAAAAATACCAATCAAGATTCATTATATAAATATGGATTCTCAAACCCTAGAAATAAACTACTCAAACATGAAATATATAATAAAAGCTAGATTTAAGGAATAAAACATAATTAAAAGAAAGAAATAGAAATAAAATACCTCAATGAATTTAAATAATAAACCTAAGAATCATCCATGGAAGAATCCATGTAGACGCCATGAGAAACTAGGGTTCGATAGAAAACTAAAAAGAACGTAAAATAACAAAAGATATAAAAGGCACAAAAAGGCATAAAGAAAAAATAATAATCCCTTGAAATATTTATATTATCCTTTTTTTTTTAAAAAAAGTCCTAAAAGACACTAAATTTCATTGATATAAGCCATACGACATCTACAATTGACAATGAACGATAATGAAAACGAATTTAACAAAATCAAACAAGAATTAATCGGGGAAGGGCTAAGAATCCAAATACATAAATATAACAATTCGGCATATTCTCGATTTGTTGTCTCATACAACTTTTTGAGTGGATCCGTCGTCGCTTCGCAATTTTGTGAGAAAGTAAATTCTTGTGCTGATTCTGTAACCCGAATCCGAGCCACAATCAATAGTAGCCCCGCACAACCGGAGACCAAATTAAGCACAAATAAAACCTTGTCTTTCGAAGGAGTACGAAAAACCTTGTCTTTCGAAGGAGATCGAAAAAACCTTGTATTTCGAAGGAGATCGAAAAAACCTTGTCTTTCGAAGGAGATAAACCCTTTCTTTCGAGGGAGACATTATTACAACCTAAAACAAAAAGCTTAAAAGAAAATAAAGATTGGGGCTTTCCACCGGTGAAATCCGACGGAAGCCCCTTTAAAATTGACAATGGAGATTAGGTTTAGGAGAGAGAAGGGAGAAAAGGAGGCTGAAATATTTATATTATCCTAAAACTAATCTAAAGATAAATAAATAAAATAAAATAAGAAAAATAGCAATCACATAAGTCGTATTATGATTGGTCGACTAAGGCGATTAATGGAATCGTAGTCAAGGAAGCTTGCGTAGGTGGGAAAACGAGGTCCATCACGAGCTGCCAGCCACGCCCAAACCAGTGCCCGCTGGGTATCCATCGGGCTAGGCAGAAGCTCGCTCGTGGCTGGGCGTATCGAGCTTCGGGCGCTGATCGTCTATTAGTTCGCAAGGCAGATTTGCAGAGGCTGTAACTTTTGTTCTAGAGATCTTATAAAGTAATGTGACCTATCGTTTGAAAGATCTTCAAGTCTAGTTTCCAAAACAATCTGAATTGCTTCAATAAGATATGTAGAACTCAAGTTATGATCAAAAGAGTGGCCAAAGGTCAGTTTTGACACTTTGAAAACCTTCGTTTTTCTTCGTTTCTAACTCAAATTCATTTCCGAAAAGTGCATAGCGACCCTTATGGATGATAATATCATTCCTCATGCATATAAATCTCAAAAATCAACATTCACGAACATGGTATCTTCGATTAATAAACTTGATTCGTCGACTTCCATCTAAATATCATCCGAATCAACTCCAAACACTTCGAAAGCATCCAAATAACTATAAAATCACCTGAAACATTACGAAAAACACAAACGGAGCGTAATAGAGCACAAAACAAAGAAATTATGCATTTGCAACCTAAAAAGCGACTAAAAGACCTAAAAGTAACTATAAAAGCTAGTATAAACGTGCCTATAAAACCTATATAAATAAGATTCATCAGTCCACTCATTTTTTAGAGGCTATATATATGCTTTGATGGACTGAGGAAGGGATGGATTGCAGGATACAGGAAAATAATATGCGTAGATGTCTTCTTTCTAAAAACTTTTCTTGGAGGCTAGTTGATGGCAGCAGTGGGTAGGGATGGCAATGATCAAATGTATCCCATTGCCTAGGTTGTGGTAAAAGGTGAGAATATATAATGCATCTTGGGAGTGGTTCGTTTTGAACTTGAGGAAAAGCCTTGCACTAGAGGATGGAGAACAATGTATAATTATGTCTGATGAACATTAGGTATCCATTTGTATTCCCTTTTGTTCTGATTTTTTTTTTTTTTTTTTTTTTTTTGCCAAGTTTATAATTGTATTTTGCCTTTTGGATAATTATAACATGTACAGTCCATTCTAAGGGGGGTATCAGTGGTAATACCAAAGGCTGAACATAGGCATTGTGTAAGGCACATATTTGCTAACTGCCATAAGAGCTATAGGGGTGATGAGTTCAAATTAATGTTTTAGACATGTGCAAAGGCTTATAGTGAGGCAAACTATAATGATGCCTTAGAGGTGTTAACAAAGGTGAATCCACTTGCTGTAGAAGCTTTGGAAGCATATAATCCTAGTGTGTTTTGTAGAGCCTTCTTAAAAACACATGTGAAGGCTGATGTTATAACCAGCAACATGGTTGAGACTTTTAATGGGTACATAATCAATGCTAGGACAAAGCATTTGATTTATATGTTAGAAGACATCAGGTCAACCTTTATGCAGAGATTAGTCAATAAAGGGAGGAAATGATGAAGTGGAAGACCGCCTTATGCCCTAGGATTGTGAAGAAACTTGCACATGAGAAGGAAGAAGATGCATAATGTCATTTACTCCCATCCACACAAACTAGATTTCAAGTAAGCTACCACTTGGATAGTTTAACAATAGACTTACATGCTAGGACTTGCACTTGTAGGAAGCGGGATATGACTGGTCTGCCTTGTTGCCATGTTGTGGCAGCAATGTTTTACTTACACAAGAATGCAGAAGACTTTGTTGACCCAGCATACACAACTGCAAAGTACATTAAAGATTATGCACACTTTATTCCCCCAATTGATGGTGAAAGGAATTTGCCTGTGAAGGTATTTCCTATTTATCCCTTGCCAATCAAAGTGGGGCCTGGAAGACTTAGGAAAAACAGAAGAAAGGACCCTTTTGAAAATCCCAAGAAGCTAGGGAGCTTGACTAAGCATGGCATGGAAATGACATGTAGTTTGTGCAGAGAAAAAGGGCACAACAAAAGAGGTTGCCAAGCCCTGGTACTGCTACACTCCCTCCAATAGAACCACCTACTAAAAGACCTAGGGGCAGACCAAAGAAAACAACTGCCCCACAACAAGAGGAAGCTCTTCCACAATCAACTGCACACCACAACCTTACTGCAGAACCCTCTTGAATAGGCAGAGGAGGCAGAGTTGTCACTAGAGGTGGTAGTAGTAGAGGTGCAAGGGGAGGAAGAAGTAGTGGTAGTACTAGTGGCAGGGTAGTACCAACAGGTGCAAGGGGTGGAAGAACTGGTGGGAGGGGTACTGATTCAGGGCAAAGGGGTCGGGAGGGAGAACTAGTTGCAGGGGAGGTGACTTAGTGCAAAGGGGAGGGAGAACTGGTGGCAGGGGAGGTAGAAGGGGTGTAAGGGGTGGCACCAATGCTATGCCTCAAGGATTTGGTGTATTTGTCACCCCTGATGGAAGATCCTTCACAAATTTAAGGATCCCAAATTTATTTATTTTTTTTGTTAAGTGTGTGTATTCACAGAACCTTCTTCAGTGACTGACTTTAATGGTATTTGTTACAGGAACCAGGAAGTAGTGCAGCTGTTGATGTTTCTGCCTTCACCAATACCTACACATTCAACTTCAGTCAAGGTTCAACATCTAAAACTGGTGGGCAATAGAGCTAGGATAGTCAACAAGCAATCTCATGTCATTTTCCCATTTTGGTTGTTGCTACTTTTGTGTACTTGTTAAGTGGTTACACTACGTGAAAAAATGAATTTGGCACCGGTTCAAACCCGGCCTAAGGCACCGGTTTGAACCGGTGCCAATGTGGGGGGGTGCCAATAAGTGGTTTAAAAAGGCACCGGTTCAAACCGGTGCCAAAACTCAGAATTGGCACCGGTTAACCGGTGCTAAAAATGGCAAAAAAAAAAATTGCTTGTTTTTGGCACCGGTTAACCAGTGCCAAAAGTGCCCCAAAATTTTTATTTTATTTTATTTTTTTTGTTTTATCGTTTTATCCACTTAAAAATTAAATAGACTAAATTAATAACCACATCAAAACATAAATCCAATATCATCGAATATTTACAGTATATGATCAAAAAAAATTATAATATACATCAATAAAATAGTTTGATTACAACATATAAGTATGAAAAAAAATTACAATATAAATTAAAAAAAATTACAATATAAATAAAAAAAAAACCCATTCACATCTAAATCAATATTCTTGTAACTTGTTTCTTCGATTTCATATCTAAATAACATACCTGCACCAATTAGAACAAAAATAAAAATCGATTAATATAATCAAGCTTCAAAAAAAAAACCCAGAATTTTAATCACAAAAATTTAAACCCAGAAATTTAATCCCAAAAATTCAAACCCAGAAAAAAATTGAAACGAAAAAAAACTTGAAAACCCAGTATTCGAATAAACCCCAAAAACGAAAAAAATTGAAATCGAATAAACCCAGAAAAAAAAAAACCAAAAACCAATTAAAATAAAAATCAAAAACTGATTAAAACCCAGAAAATAAAAAATAAAAATCGATAAAAAAAAAATCAGAAAATAAAAATCAAAAACGAAATAAAATCGCTTAAATTAAAAAAAATCGATTAAAATAAAAAAAAAACCCAGAAAATTTAAAAAAAACGAATTAAAAAAAATCGATCAATAAATTGATTAAGACAAAAAACCAGAAATAAAAAACAAAAACGAACCCAGAAAATAAAACCTTGGATTAAAAAAAAACCCAGAAAATAAATATAAAAAAAACGAATTCAAATGAGTAACAAAAAACAAACCCAGAAAATAAATAAAATAAAATAATAAAAAAAAAAACAAACCTCGAATTGGTGATGCATGTGGTGGTCTTGGTGGTGTTGCATGTGGTGGTGCAAGTGGTGGTCTTCAATAGAAAGAAAGAAGGAGATCGAGAAAGAAAGAGAAGGAGATCGAGAAAGAAAGAGAAAGGAGATTGACATTTTTGTGGGCTGGGCTGGGCTGGGCCGGAGGTGGTGGTTGTGACGGTGGTTGTTGTGGCGGTGAAATGGCGGCTGAAAATCTAATTACTCGAGAAGGAGAAGATAGGAGGAGGAGAGGAGAGGAGAGAGAAAGAGAAAGAGGAATGAATTAGGTTAGGGTTGAGAAAATTTAAGTAGCAGCCGCTTTTTTTTTAATACTTAAAATACCGGTTCACAAAGGCACCAGTTCAAACCGGTGGCCTTTATGTTTTTGCCACCGGTTTGGACTGAACCGGTGCCTTTTATTCTGCTTTAACTTCCCACCAATTTTGTAGCCCATTTTTGGCACCGATTTGGACTGAACCGGTGCCAATTAGGGGGTGCCTTTTTGATATTTTCTACTAGTGTTAGGGCTTTTGGTTGTAACCCTTACAAATGTTTAATTTAGCTTATTATGTGTTTGTCAAACACTTATGGAACTTGTTATATGTAATGACCCTCTGTTTATTTGTAATGATAACTAAGTACCTTCACACATTTTGTGTGCAAATTCAAGCTAAGATAACTGATATCAATTTACTTCAATTTAGAAATCATCATATTCATTAAGTGCAAACAGGCCCGTCGTTGACCTAGGGCAGCCGGGGCACCCGCCCAGGGCCCACGGATAGAGAGGGCCTCATCTTCAAAGAGGGCCTCATTACAATTATGTTTATTTAGAGATAAAATTATCAATACTAGTATCTCTTGTCCTTTGTAGCTTGGTGGTTGGTACAAGTTTGTAAGTACTTAATATACACATAAGTCAGTGGTTCGACTACTCTTAGCTCCAATTTGAATTTTTTTTTTCCCCTTTTTTGTGAAAATAAAATTACTACTTGCATAGTATATATATAAACTACTATAGCCTAAACTAGATTAAACCCCGTACAATGCACGGCTGTTAAATAATTCTAATGACAATAAATTTTACCAAAAATAATGGATATAAATATTATAAATAGACTTAGTAGTAAAAAGTATGAATTATTGTGAAAGAAATTAATTGAACATATAATAGTTATAATGGGCAATTTGATATTTAAGGACATTTATTTTAGATTTTATACAAACTAAAAGTCATAATTTAATTATAATAAGTTTTTTTTAGTAAGTGGTTTTGGAGGGAAAACATTTTACAATATTTTGCCAAGTGTTCTCTATGTTTCGCCTTTAGTATAATACTAGGTTAAACCCCGTGCAAATGCACGGTTGTTGAATAATTATGATAATAATATAATTATATAAAAATTAATGAATCGATTCATCAGGTATTAAAGTGCATGAAATATATTAAAACAATTAAAACATGTGAGAGAAAATATTTATAGTTATAAGGTGCAAGTTGATATTTTAGGAAGTTTATTTTAGATTTTATATACATTAAATGCAATCTTTATTTTTATATAATAACGATTTTTTTTAAGAAAGGAATTTTGGCGGGAATTTTTTTAATAATATGTTGCCAAGTGTTCCTTCATATTCGCTTTTAGTAGTATGTAATTGATAATTGATGATTATTATTATATTATAATAAAATATCTATTGCTATGTTCCTAAAAAAATAAAATAAAATATTATTTATGGATTTAGATTTTAGATTATGAAGAATGATCCATTTCATTCGTAAGAGAAAATCGACCATAAAGCTTCTTTTATACCTTCTTTCTTTTACAAACCATATACTTGTAGACTTATAGTAGTATATAAAAGTATTTATTTTTCCATTCAGTATAATTTATTATAAGTGTTTTTTTAACTATAGTCAAAACTAGATTTTTTGTTCAAAACTTTTTCTTAAGGATGATAATTTGTTCATATTAAAGTATATATACATATATAAAAAAAATAAAAAATTTCCTCTTCAATATTAATAAAATAAAATAAAATAAATACTTCGTACTACATGCAATAGGGCCCCGATTTATTCTTTCGCCCATGGGCCCCCGAAATCTCAGAAACGGCCCTGAGTGCAAAAGATTTACTTCACCCATTAAGTGCAAAAGATAACTGATATTAATTTAATTCAAGCATTAAGTGCAAAAGATTTACAATAAACCCCTAAATAATGCAGCATTATCATCCTAAAGCCATGACACCAATAAAAGTACTACTAGTGCTGCATTACTGAAAATCTACTTAGATAATAACTACTTACATTACCATCATAAGCCATGACCTAAAAAAAACCTACAATCCCAGAACATTAACCCACCAAACCTAGATCATACCACAAAAAAATTTAAAACCGCAACCTAATACTTCAGATTAGGTACTACAACCTTCACTTCATCAAGAATACAACAGTGAAAAAAACCGAAGACAAGATCAAAGCCATCATTAGCTTCTTCTCCTTGTTGTTCGTCTTCATCTCATAGAGGGACTCAGTTGCTGCAATCTCCACCTCTGCCACTTCATCAACCAATTCTTCTTGTTTTGCCTTCAACTTCCTGACCTTCTCCTTCACCAGATCAAGCTTGTCCTCCAATTCATTGATAGTTGAGTTCTTATCCATAATGTGCGATTGTAGAACACGAATATCATCAACCTCGTCCATCCATTTGATAAAACCGCATGTCCTCTGTTCCAAACAAACACAACAAATCAATTCATCACCCATTCAAACATAATTACAAATACATTTAAGAGACGAGAAAATATACCGGCCAAAAAGAACAACCGTAAAACGCTTTCCTTTCGTGGGGTCGTCAACCTTTACAATCCTCAACGGAGCTACCTCGTCGTGGTAACAGTAAAGTGGGAGATGTGGGGAGCCTGAATTCTTGGACTGTGAAGAAGAGCCAAGGGATTGCTGACTTGTCATTACTAAAAATATAAACTTGGAAGGGATTTTTTTGGGAATATTTTTAAGAGGAGATGAACAATTACAGAAAGGAGGGGGTTGAACAATTTCTTTGATGTCTACGGCATTTATAGAGAGTTGCAGAGGAAGATAGATGGAGTAAATGGGTTATTAATGGAGCTCAACGGTAATAAAGAAATTACCAGCTAAAAATTAAAGGAAATAGGTTTAACCGGTCATTAATGAAAAGGGCTTGTTTTAAGAAGAATGGGGCAAAAGGTAGGATTATTTTGAGCAAAACAAGTAAAGGTGGGATTATTAGTTTCCATTTTTCCTTTTTTTTTTACTAAAGTTTATAATGACATTAAAATATTGTTATATAATTTTAAGTAGAGAGTGAGGGTAGCTCAAGAGATTAGAGCTTCCCTCTCAGTTTCAAGAGATTCTGAAATCGATTATCACCCCATTTCTTAGTGGCTCTCTATACACCAAATATATATAGGGAAGGGATTCGATAAGAACTCTTTCTTATGTAAGAACACCTTATGTTCTAAACTTTTTCCTATGTTCAGAATCATTTTTAAAATAATTTTTGTTGATTTTACTTTGTTGAATACAACATTAGAAGTTCTTGACTTGGAGGCTTGGAGCCTTGTATTTTAATATTCATATAGTAATTTTAATTTTGCAAATAAATAATCTATATTTTTTTAAAACAATCTTTATACGAGTTGGAGGCTTGGAGCCTTGTATTTTAGTTTTGTTATAAAATTAAACTACTACTTGTACATTTTTTTTTTACTAAAGTTTATAATGACATTAAAATATTGTTATACAATTTTATGTAGAGAGTGAGGGGTAGCTC